GGGGGCTCTTAATATAACGTGATATTTTTAAGAAAAACATTTTGCAATAAAACCTCCCAAAACAAAACACAACGCCTCTGCGGAGGAGAGTGCTAGGAAATAGTCGCAAGGCTTGGAAAGGCTAGCACTTTCTCGGATTGTTTGCATGAAATCTATCGCTATTATGAAATACTCGGTGAAGAACAATATGAATTACACACAAGATGGCTGTGGAGGAGGCTATGGAAGGGCATAATCTCATTATCAAGTAAATCAACTGCAAATCTGACATCAATCATGAGCAATTCTGCTTCGCACTTCGGGGGCAGAAATGGCTTTACTGGGGGGGGGGGGGCAAATTCTTTCCCTGGGGGGGGCAATTGCCCCCCCAGATATATAGTTAAAAAAAGCACTGTTGTGAAGAGGTATAGGGGGCCCTCTAAGAAGTAGATTGTCAGTTAGTGTGCATTCCCCTTTCTTGCATTGATTTACCCTAGTATAGTTGTTTTTCAAAACGACAATTGTATTTCGGGAGCAAGTAATACAATTTGGACGTAACGTTTAGCGATGTGTTAGGAAGAAACATCCGTATAAAATTAGTGTATAAAAATATTTCTCTGCATCTATAGCATATTGTAAAGTTGGTGTTGGAATTTGCTATGATATTCGATTTTCTGAAATGGCACAGCTTTATGCAAAACAAGGTAAGAACGACTAAAAATATTCGTAACGCGTTGATCATTTAAATTACTTGTATAGGACCCCGAACATAGTGTTGCAAACTCCCAAACATAGCGCTGTGAACTGCCTCGTTCCAATGGTGTAGAACTGAAACGATAACAAAGGGGGCTCGTAAACGGGGGCAGGGTGACAAGTCGTGAGGGTGACGAGGCTTGGAGGGTGCAACATGGTAAACATGGAAAGTTCCACTATTTATTTTTGGTTCAATTCGTGTTTTCTAAAGAAAAGATTTAACTTCAAATAAAGACTCCGATATACCGAAGCTATTTCATGTTGGAGCCACTTACTGCACATGACCTAATAATATGATCATAGTAATCAAGTAGAGATTTCTAACATTACCGCATCATTTCAACACTAAAGTACATACAGCTGCAAAAAACTTTCCATGTTATGATTGTACAATCTGCAAAATATTGGGAGCTCATCCCCCAAATCGGCATGAAATTTTTAACAAGGGAGCTCAGCCCCACTGAGCTCCAAAGGGGGCTGAGACCCCTGAGCTCCGCCTCTTCTACACCCCTGCCTCGTTCTTACTTGTCTAAGGCACTTTGGTTCTCGATGGAGATATTGGACGTCCTTGTACGTGTCAGTCCCTTTTTATTTTTGTCTGCGCGGCCAGACACGAAGATAAAATATATCAACATAAACAATGGTTTTATGAACTGATAGCTTGTTTAGCGATACGGAATTAGCTGGGAAAAATGGTATTAAAACTGTTTACGACCTTCATAAGTATTGCCTATTGGACATCAATTTCCTCCATCTTGGCTTCACTTTATAGTTATATAGGCCCAATGATTGACGTTCTTGCTCTAGATAAATATTCAGCTCACTGCCTTGTACATGAACGTTGCATGTTGTTGCCAGTGGTTGTTACATGACGCAACTAAGCTGTGCCGGTGGCGACGTCTAACTTTTCATTCCGAGTCATTATACTCCAGTTATACAGTATATATGGAGTATTAGAGAGAGCACATGGGCTGAAAAATTTGCCATTGATTGCAGAATACTTGTATAACTTTATTATAGGATGCAAATTACTTCTGTACCCAGGAGCTTTCAACATGACAACTGGTCCTGCACATTGGGAACTGCTCATACGTAGTAGGTAAGATGACAAGAAGTTTATTTTAGAAGTATTAGTCGATAGCTTAAATTCGGAAAATCATAATAATACACGCTTCTGGAAAGTATGTCCCATGCATTGGCTATTAGTTAAAGCCTAACGTCTCAATCACGAAAACGAGGCTCTATAGCCAAGGTGACGTACTTTCTATTGCGTGCGCGGGGCCTGATAAAGTGTATTAGTGAGCTAAAGCAAGTGACGTTTTTGACAACACGAACGGCATGAGTAACGTCAGAAGACTGGGTCAAGGGCTGTGATTGGTGAAAAACGTCAACTTTACTTCCGGTCGACGTCCGTGTTGTCAAAAACGTCACTTACTTAAGCTCACTATTGATTGAAGTGGCTGACGTAACGTGATATTTTACCTATGAATCTGCCGTCGTTATCAAAAGAAATCTGCGTTTGTCGTGTACTTTGGAATCTCCATGCATGATTGTACAAAGTGCATGCATAAAAAACAATATTGTATAAATGATGATTATTTCCTTTTTTATGTTTGAAGGGCTGTAAATAATCAGGTAAGACATTAGTTTCTGTGAATTTGCACCATGTTTTCTGTATTGTGTTGATTTACACATGTTGTTAATTAATCAGACTCAAGCACTGATCTGGGCTCAAGTCATTTTCAATTTTCCAGGTTTATTGCGCAGCAATATCTCCAGCTCGAGATACTGAAGCAAGCTATGTTGCATGGGGACACACAACTTTAGCAAATCCTTGGTAAGTTTAGTAATAATTTATTTGTCATTATGTAATGTTTCTGATTATTTTTTGACAATAGTTTACCTCACAACAGTTTTACAGTATGTGTTTGCTCAGAAGAAACTTAAAGGGTTAATTCTGATGACATTAATATTTCATGTACACTGTATAGTCTTAACGGCAAAATCGGGAAAGTAACGCAATATTTGGCAGGAATTCATATTTTATTTTCTCACTTTTATCCTTCACAATCCCTATTACCACCCTTTCTGTACAAAATACTGCGTAGTTCTGCCGTTTGCAACCTGATTTCCGGCGGAAGCTAGGGTCGGAGGTATACGACACGGACTCCACTTAGTTAAAAAGGCTGCCAGTTAATAGGGATTCCACCGGTACTAACCTAGACTTGCTCCTAGTCTCTCTTTCATTGTCATATAGTATCGATCCACTATATAGTGTACATTACATGACGTAGCACGGAGGGATCGATATGACAATGAAAGAGAGACTTGGAGCAAGTCTAGTACTAACCTTACAATACAGTTCTTCACAATATAAATAGTGAAGGATTGGGCAGTACTATTTCACTGTGCTTGCCTATCTTTCTTCATGATATCCCATTTATTTTTTAACCATATCGTTTTTCTAACATTGTGAATATGTGTTGTAGGGGTGAGGTTGTTGCAAAATGTGAGCATCAGGAAGACATTGTGTACGCTGATATTGGTAGGAATTTTCTACTTGCTTTTGTAACTCATGAGACTTACAATGCAAAACTGGCATTGTTTCAACAATTACTAAAATATAAAACTGGTATATTTAAACTTTTACAAACTTGCAACTATATATTTTCCATCTGTCATCCATATAGTTTAGTCGAAAATAAGATGTTTTATATCTTTCCCGAATAATGAATGGAAAAGTAGTTGAATTTTATCTACACTGAATGAGGGTAGGAACCCTGAATTTAACACGGCCACTCAATGCAAAAATCGTCTCTCGAACATTATGACTGGATGAAATCACTTTATTAACTGTGCTCACAGCGATCTCTCTAGTTCACTTTTGCGATGATTGAAATCATCGTTTATATCTTGAATAAAGGCTTTATGTTTTCACCACGGTTTGCTTGTGTTTGTTTGTTTGTTTGTTTGTTTGTTTGTTTGTTTGTTTGTTTGTTTGTTTGTTTGTTTGTTTGTTTGTTTGTTTGTTTGTTTGTTTGTTTGTTTGTTTGTTTGTTTGTTTGTTTGTTTGTCTGCAAGCACGAGTTCAATTTGGATAAAATTTGATAAATTTACCAACGTTTGTATTGAATGTATAATTAGTGCGTGTATAATTTATGCATGAATACTTTAATTTTTGGCGGAGGTGTGTTGTCTCATGTTTTTGCAGTCTCCGAGTGACCTCCAGTATAATTAGATTAATCTCTAACAGACTATAACATTTTCATTATTCTTTATTATTAGATCTTAATTACTTAGAAGAAGTACGGTCGCAAGTGCCAATCACTTCTCAAAGGCGACATGATCTCTACTCGGTCGAAAACACTCAGACGTCATAAGATTATAAGTTTTGGACATCATGTGAATTCTAGATGGAGTCTGTACCTAATGAGGAAATAATTAAAACAACGTTTATATCTAGTGAACTTGTTACAAGTTTGGCAACTGTAGATTCCATAAGAGATCGAGGTACTTACTTATTATAAAATTATTTTATGTCGATCAATAGAACCAAGAATGATTTTTTACAAATATGATTGAAGACATGATGCGCTGTATAGATATAGCAGGAACAAAAGACTGCGATTAAGACGTCCATAGCCAAAAGCATCATGTAAGCACTAATTGAATGCACTATATTACTATGTATTTATTTGAATAAAACGGCACATGCAATCGGTGGCTAAGTTGTGGTGGTGCATTGATTATACAACGTAGACAATCTATAAGACAACTGCATACGTTTTGTCACAAGAGTGTCCCAAGCACTGCCATGGCCAAATTTATACTAAGGAAGAAATGATCCGTGTTGGCGAACTTGGGCAAAAGAAAAGAGTTCGTCTTGAAGAAATTCAGGGTGCGATAATTCACGTACCAAAGGTACATGTAGGTCAATATTACGGTCACTTTCCCTAAGGTATTCAAAACCGTATAATAAATAACATATTTGGTAGGAAGCTCAACTTACACTGGTTATAAATCTATTAACTCTAAAAACTGTAAATATCTGTTCACGTTTTTCTACAGTGTTTCATCACATTTACCAGTGAGTGAAGTTTGAAATTATCATCTTGGATGATAGCAGTGATATTCAACCATTTTGAAGAGCTTGCAACCAACATGACGTCATAAATTAGAGGACATATTCACACTCATTTACATATCAAACAAATTGAAATATCTCTGGAACAAACCAATAAAAACAGGAAACTGAAAAATAAGTTACACTACAGCTTAAAGAGTTATTTCATTTAAGAAAATAAGAAATTTCTTGTCATATGTACTTTAAGGCTATAATACCTTTAGTCTTAAGTTTGTACCAGCTTAAGTACGTGGCAATAAAAACCGAAACACCAGTGAAGTACAGTACTGGTGAAAATCTTGAATTATCGCATCCTGAGAATGATACGAATTTTCAGAAATTAGTTTCATGCACTTTTTGTCCAAGAACCATTCCTACTATAGCTGAATAGCTCCATTTGACGAATGATCCGTCGTAGAATGGTGTGTCTAAAAGAATGATCTCAAGCTAAAATGGGGCAGTAGCGTTTTCAGCCCTGGCTTGCGAGGTTTGATGGATCTCTACCATAATGTAAGAACGAAGTACGACATTCGTTCAGACCTCAGGATTACAATTACGTTTCTTCTGCAGTGTTAAAATTAAGTTTCCAAAGTCTCAGTGAGTTGTCGCTTTTTGTTGCTTCATCTTCATTATCAACATTTTCACATTCGTCTTGTAAAATGAACGTTCGCTGTCCAGAGGCTGTGGCCAGGAGAGGCAGGCTTGGGTGGAAGCTGAAAATACATTGATATGTTCTAAAATGTTCAATCAATCAGAATCAATCAGTAGAATCAATCAGTAGAATGTGACCTGGAAAATTTAGTTAATGTTTCTTGGACCTAGCCTCCTCCGCTAGCATCTCGTGGTTCATCTGGGTTGCTTGGATTTACAAAGCTGAAGGCAATGCCACCTTTCAGTTTGCCTTATAAATGTTCCTCAAAAGTGCGTAAAAAGCATAACAAATTTGACCGCTCAAACAAATGACAGAAATATTATTACGTATTACGTATGTATGAAAATCTGAAAATGATCCTCAATGCTGCAGGCAATGTTCCTCAGAGTCCTTTTCAAATGTCTGGCATACGGTGCATAAATTGCGGTGTTTAATTACCCTTCAATTGTATAGTGAATTTACAAAGCTGACAATTCCGACAATTTAGAGAGAGGAGAGAGTCACAAACGTTTTTGCACTCGTTGCGAGAATGATCCTAAACTCATCTAATGAGAAATATTCGTGAGTGTTGTCGTAAGATTAGCATTGGGTTTACGAAAAATAATAAAACGAAACTGCTGACGGCATTACCTTATACCATTGACGCAGTCATCATGAGCAATGTAGGTCATGTGACATGGTAAGATGACGTCAGAGGAAGCACAGGTATCCCAAACACTAACAGTTCCATCATGATTGCCAGAGACGACATATTTTCCTGAACTAGAAAAAATAAATCAATTGCACATCAATTTAAGTCATTTGTCGTACGCATACTCACTTTATTAAAATAGTTTTACTTCACAATAATTTTACTAATGGGTAAATATCTAGACTTTCTCCAAGTCTCTCTTTCATTGTCATATAGTATCGATCCACTATAGTGTACATTACATGACGTAGCACGGAGAGGCGGAGCGAGAAAGAGAGACTTATCAACTTCGGAAAATCTCGGTTCAAAACTGAACCGAAAATGCAAGACTTGCTTTAATTGTTTTCCTTCAATTTCTTTCTGTATTATTTACTATAATGGAACTCATGTTATTTACACTGTGCTAGATCAATACATATAAACACTGACAGAAAACAATTAAAGCAAGTCTTGCATTTTCGGTTCAGTTTTGAACCGAGATTTTCCGAAGTTGACAAGTCTCTCTTTCTCGCTCCGCCCCTCCGTACTACGTCATGTAATGTACACTATAGTGGATCGATACTATATGACAATGAAAGAGAGACTTGGAGCAAGTCTAGTAAATATCAAGACTGTGATGGAATTTTCGAACGCAAATTTATATACATTTTTAGACCTAACCAGGAGTATTGGCAACAAATGCGACTATAGGCTCTCTGGAAGGAGTCGTACCTGCGATTCCGATGCAGCGCTCCATCGCGCGGTCTCTGTAGCTTGGTTAGAGCGTCGTATCGGAATTACAGGGCCGCAAGTTCGATTCCTACCAGAGGGACTTAGTTGCAATTTTGGCAACTGCTCCTGGTTAGGTGTAAAATGTATATAAATTTGCGTTTGAAAATTCCATCCACCAAAAATACATCTGCTCTGTGTTAGCAGAAAGCCATTACTATAGCCCAATTAATTGAGATTATTTCTAAGTCATTCAAAATGATGTCGTTATTACTTATAAAAAGCACTACACTAGAGTAGTAGAGAATTTTTTATAGCTTAAAAGAACATCCTTAAATTAGTAAAATTGCCAAATTTGGTTGCAAAATGTTGTAAAATACGGAAAATATAGCCCTGTGAAATTACACGTTGGTCAAATTTAGCGAAATTACTCGTGCGGGCTCGTATTGTCAGCGGACATCTTACACAAAATGGCCAGTTCTGCACTCAGTTCTGCAAAATGCAAAACTTTCAATTCTTTACCGCAAGTCCGCTGGAAAATGCGAGCTTGCGGTACTGGGAGAAAATTTGCTGAACATGACTAGCGCGTTAGCAAATTTTGAGTATTTTAGTATTACGCGCGGACAAATGCACCACTTTCGGCTCAAAAGTGGTGAATGTTTCCGCGCGTAATACTAAAATACTCAAAATTTGCCAATTTCACAGGGCTATATTTTTCGTATTTTACAACATTTTGCAACCAAATGTGGCAATTTTACTAATTTAAGGATGTTCTTTTAAGTTATAATGATAGATTTCGTCTTTCTTGTCTGGATAAAAAATTAGTCAATAGCTGGAATCATCCATATTGGTTTAACTAGCTTCAGTTTCTGCTATATATTCATACCTGTCAATATCAAAATACATTCTTTGGTTAGTATTGACAAATCTCATCAGTTTGTGTAAGATAGCACCAGGGTATCTCATGTCCCAACATATGATTTCATTATCCTGAAATATAATTTATTTCAGCAAAGCCCTCTACAATTTTCCCCGTACAGACGAGCACGTTTTTCTTGAAAATTCCTTGACAAGTTTACTTTCTCGTACGGTCAATAAGTTCTTCTTGACAAGTTTCCCTTCACAACTTTTGTTGTTCGTGTACACAGAATGTAGTTAGGCCTGTTTCAAACGTCGCGCTTCTCATGTGCCGAACGCATTAAAAACAATAGATAATCAGCTGAAATGCCTCATCAATTGTTTCTGATGCATTCGGCACATGAGAAGCACGACGTTTGAAACAGGCTTTAAACCCGTATCTCACGTCAAGGCCACCAAACCATATAAGTATTTCTTGTACACTTGTCAAGCTGGCCAAGGCTAATTCTTGGCAAGGAAAAATTGTCAATTTTTTGCCAAATAAAATTTGTCAAGGAAAATTTACCCGTCCGCATGTACGGGTCTTTTATGCATATACATGGTCATGCAGTGCATGGGCACAATGGTAATAAAGGCTAGTCATATTTATAACTTTAATTCGTAAAGGCCAGTTTACGCGATTTTCCTCTTCTGATGGATGTGAACGAGTGGATGAGTTATGAATGTTCAGATGAGGGTACATATACCCAGAACATTAATATCTCATCCACTCGTTCACATGCATCAGAAGAAGAAAATCACACTAGAAATTTTAATTGCAATTTTCTTCTTCTGATGGATGTGAACGAGTGGATGAGTTATGAATGTTCAGATGAGGGTACATATACCCAGAACATTAATAGCTCATCCACTCGTTCACATCCATCAGAAGAAGAAAATCACACTAGAAATTTTAATTGCAATTTTCTTCTTCTGATGGATGTGAACGAGTGGGTGAGTTAGGAATGTTCAGATGAGGGTACATATACCCAGAACATTAATAGCTCATCCACTCGTTCACATGCATCAGAAGAAGAAAATCACACTAGAAATTTTAATTGCAATTTTCTTCTTCTGATGGATGTGAACGAGTGGGTGAGTTAGGAATGTTCAGATGAAGGTACATATACCCAGAACATTAATAGCTCGTCTACTCGTTCACATGCATCAGAAGAAGAAAATCGCAATAGAAATGGCAAAAAACATTGCAAGTGTAAACGGGTCTTAAGAATACAAAATTTTATGCTTAATTAAATTCCACAATAAAACAACAATCTACAGTTATATAACTTGTCAACATTCTCTCAAAAGCGCTTGGAAACGATTCGCGCAAGGATTCTTGGAATATATCTGGAGTTAGTTGAAACAGCTTATATCAATTAACTTAATTACGTACGAAATCATTTATGCATGCATTCTTTCAGTTTAAGGTCTATAGGGGCCGGGGGATCCTGGTTATTCATCTGCCTATAACATAAGGAAACATCCACAGAACCAGAATGTCCTGGTTAAATAAACTGGACAATATAGAGATATTAAAGCCCAGCATATATATGACTTTCAAACAAGACATAACAATAAAGAAACATACACAACATCTTCACAGCATTTAAGTACTGTTTAATAAACGAGTAGGAGTGTTCTATTAGGTTTAAAGCCACGAGCGCGCAGCGCGAGCGGCTTTAGACCTAATAAAACACGACCTGCGAGTTTATTAAACGGCTTCAAACACGACTACAAATTCAATAGATATACTGCCTTATTAGTATTCTTTATATAAAGAATACTAATGAGGACACGACTATACAATAGATACTGCCTTATTAGTATTCTTTATATAAGGAATACTAATTAGGAGTGTTTTAAAGCCACTGCACGCAGGGGCGTAGAACCGGGGGGGGCAGCCCCCACCGGGGGGGGGCAGCCCCCCCCCCACAAGTTTTCAAAAGTGCCCTTTTTTCGGTGGCAAAGTTCCCTTCTGACTACGCGAAAAATGTCGTTGAGATCGCCGTTTGCCTCAATAGCCTTTGATTTATGATTGCATTTATTTTAGTATTGTGGTATGTCCGGAAAAATTTTGTTATTTTCGGAAAAAATTCTGCCATGTCCGGAAAAATCTTGTTATTTTCGGAAAAAATTATGATATGTCGGGAAAATTTTTTGTATGTTTGCGAAGACAATGATATGTCCGGAAATTTTTTTGAGTTTCTAAGTTAACCCAAATAGGGTTATTACAGTGTAAAATACTGACTATTTCCCATAATTTTAGGTATTTGACACATCCCAATTCACAACTTTAGATAACTCACAAGCCCATAGTTACTAGTGTACTTGTTTACAGAAGCATAAGGTAACTAAACTTTAGAATTATCTACATGAGTGAATAACTCTTATACATAGTTCTAATGCATTGTTACCTTTGTTCTATTCTATGCTTCTGTAAACTAGAACAATAGGTAACTATATATTCTTGTGAGTTATCTAAAGTTGTGAATTGGGTATAGTAACGATGTAAACAAAGTTAGCCAAATTTATCTACTACCTTTCTTCCTCCACTGTACAACCTGTGTCCATCTTGAGAAAATACTAAATGTGTCACTCCACCTTGATGTCCTTCAACCAGACTCAATAAATTGCCTTTTGGTTCACCATAAATACCAACTAAATTAATGAAACAACAAATCAATATTACAACTCCGCACTGTGCAAGTGGATGTACCTTAATTTAATTTTAATTTTTTTAATTTATTAGCTTTGCCATGATAAATACATAAACTAAACAGACAGACAGACATACATATAAAGTACAAGTGGCAGGGTTACCGCAACAGAATTACTTCCAATTACTGCGGGCCCATATATTGTAGGCCTATATACAGGGTGTATCAAAATAAACGCAATTCATCTTTTGTGCTTAATAACTTTCGAAATACTATTTCTACTTAAACGCTTTTAGGCTTACTTCAAAGCCTGTTCTTTTCTCTTTCAAACAAACTATTATCCTTGTCTCCAATGCTAGTAATAATTGCACAGGAAAAGATTTAGTAAAACCTATCATTTTTAGTTGCTGTTTAATTATGTAAGTTTACTATGTTATTGTTTAGTCGGTTTAAATGTTAGAATTTTCTTCTTTAAACTTTAATGTTGTCGTCACTACATCTGGAAAACCACGTAAGAACAAATTAAAAGTATTTTAAAAGAGACCAGGTTGTTTGAAAATCCTAAACGAATGCTAAAAATCGTCAAAACATTCTGGTGTCTGAGCCAGAGTGTCATCGAACTGCGATGTAATGTAAACAGAAATTATAGCAAGTTGATGTCAGTCAGCTTAGATGGTCCAAGCCAAATTATATCGCATTTGAAGTTTCAAACTGAGTTAAAAATAGTGGACGAAAAGCCGTAATTATACTTATTGTTACAATCCATTTAATAAAATGCAACATTTTTTTGTTTTAACTGAAAAAACCCAGTTATTTTCATGAGAACGATTTGTTATTTCATCTCAATTTTTTTAATCTCTAATCGCAATAACGTAAAGTATTATTATCCGCGAACCAATGAGTCAAATTTAAGAAACAACCCACTGTTAGAAAGCCGAATGGCTACGCTTTAAAATGAATGTAAACTTTAACGTTTTCGTCTATTATTTGTTTAGCAATTTACATTTCAGTCAAGGATTGCGCTTTTTTTGATACACCCTGTAGACTCACACGTGCAGTAGTTGGTGGTTAATTCATGTAGCTTCCATCTTTGCTTCCATCCCCATGACAACGTATGTTTCAACCTCGTTCCCAGGCTCTTAGCTCTTGTGGAGGAAAGACCCTGATAGGAGCTGGTCACGTAATCTGCTAAAATCTAGAAGATTTTTAATTGATGATGATAATAGATTTTAGCAGATCACGTGAGCAGCTTCCACTAGGTAAGAGCCTGGGAACGAGGTTGCGTACTTTTGTGATTGAAATTTCAGTTACATGTGAGAAGAGTGCTTCTAGTTTAATTAATTCCAACAAATACTGCAGCTTTTCTCTGGTTACGCCCCTTTCCTCCTTCATTTAAAGTTTAAAACTTGACCAATAAGGTCAGGGCCGGATTTTGGTGTAAATGCTGGGAGAGGTGCAGCGGTCTAGGCATGAATGTATAAATGTATACCTGTATTATATATGTATACCTATCAATATTGTATTCATGAATTATGACTGTATGACTACAAAGTTTGCACTAAAATAGTGATTGAAATACTGTTTAATAAACGAGTAGGAGTGTTTTATCACATATAAAACACGACGCGTAGCGGAGTGTTTTATATGTGATAAAACACGAACTACGAGTTGAAGAACCACGGCATTGGCGAAATAATTTTCCAAAATAACTTTGTATTAGCTGAGAAAATACAAGTTGAAATTTGAAGCGTGTTTTATCACATATAAAGACACGCCACGCTTACGATTTCTCTTTGTGTTTTCCTCATGAATTATTAATGAGTTTTTGAAACAGAGATGAATGATTATCACTTTTTCAATTGCACAGAAGAAGGCCTTAAAGCAACACATGTAATAACAAGGTGCGCACCTCCCTCCCTCAAAATACGGTCATGAACAAGGTATGGCCTTACTGGACCTCTGCAAGGTATCTTTCTCAGTTATATTCCGAGGAAGAAATTAACATTCATACTGTATACCTGGTCTTTTCTTATATTCTAACTTGAGATGCAGTGGTTTTGCATTAACTAACATTATATTTCGTTATATAAGCTAACATTATATTTATACCGGATAGCTTTATCAGTTCTAATTTGGTCTTCATAAATAGCCAGTAAGAATTTGTTCTCGTAATAGGTTAGCTGCAAGTTCATTTCACCACCGTTATACACATTCACATTTTCCAGTAGTATAAAAAATATATTCAATATGACCGAAAAATAAAGAGAATAAAATCTTTATCAAAAGAATATTGATACATCATACCTGACTTAGAGAAAGATCCACACGCATAAAGACCACTATTTTCTGGAGATACTGCAATACACGAGATGATACCAAACTGACCTTGTTTTTTACTCACTTGAAGAAATCAAATATTATTATAAAGTTTGTGAATTCGCAACACCAAGAAATCAAGGTATAAATATCAGACAGACATGCAGACACGCTCGCTACTCAGTGATTTAAGTAAAGAAATGTAATCCCCAATAAATTACACTCACGACCAACCTTTCGACAATTTCGTCTTGTGTCTCCATGCATCAGAAGTGATGCCCGTGATGACAATGATAATTATGATCGTATGCGTCCTATTTTGAAGAGGGATGGCCGTGTGAAGAGGGATGACCATCAGGGTATATTCATTTTGTTAACGACATGATCCTTATACTGACGACGTTATTCCTTGAGTATTAGTGAGTCACGTAATTGCAATTTAAGATTACCCCTATAGTGAAGACAGTAGACTGGAGTATTGAAACGTCAGGTCGTGAACATAATTTGTTCCGTGAACAGCAAGCAAAATAAAATAACTCCACCAATCAGGACACAAGAAACATGGCACATGATTTTAATGCTCCTACCCAGGGTTGGTAAGATTGGCCTTTTTGAGGCCAAATAACTCGATTTTGGCTTCTTTTTTTCTAGCTTGGCCTCGAAACAATTTGGTCTTTTGGCTTTTTTTTGGCCTCTTCACAGTTTACAGGAATTTTGTGAAAATTTATTGATTATTTTGAAATGAAAGCATTAATTTTTGCAGGTTGATTCCCATGCATTTTTACTTCGACTCACTGTCAGAAATAAACCTGGTTGTAATTCTAGCCAATCAGTATTCATGAAATCCAGTCAATTATACAGCTGACAAATTGAGCACACTGTGTTCGCAGAAGTCCGCATTTAGCTTCTTTTGAACAGAACGTTGTTTGGCCTCTTTTGGTAGGTTTTGGCTACTTTTTCAACGGCATTTGGCTCCGAGCATGCGCAAGAACCTACCAACCCTGCTCCTACCGTTTGTTTGGTCTACCTGAAATGATCGATGTTTCGAGACAAGGCTCGTCGTAGCTATGAACCTCCTGAAGAAAAGCTTTTTCTAGAAACATCAACGACTGCAGGGTGCGATAATTCGCGTACCAACGTACCAGAGGTACGCCAAATTTATGGTCTGGTACTTCTTTTTTTTTTAGCCAAGTACCACATAGGTACGCGGAAATTTACTATTCGCGTACTTACATTTCCCTTCTAGCAATAACTAGCCAACCTGCCACCACTGTATGTAGCTGAGGTCAGACAGTTAGCACCCTCGGTAAATCCACTGTAAATGAGCGATGGCATTCGAGTCACAACGGCGACGCTTTGAGAACTGTTATATTATGTTGTACAAATACGATAATTAAAGATTCATTTGTACAAAATTGCCCATACATTTTTTGCTTTTGGACCAGTATTAAAACTATACGTAGGTATAAAAACGCATGACTCGGAAGTAGTCTTAGGTACGTCTTGACTGTTAAGTTTGTACCAGATCAGGTACGCGGAAAAAGTTGTCGGAGTACCAGTCAGGTACGGCCAAAAATATTGAATTATCGCACCCTGAACGTAGCGCAGAGTTTCAAACCCAAACTGCAAACATACAGTACAACAGACAGTTTACCTGTTGGTCGTTGCTGACATTGTCTCCCAGGTCGAGCTGTATTAAAGACTCGAACCATTTTATTAAAACCACAATATATCTTACTTCCGTCCAAATTAAACGCTGCACAATACAAGTTCAACATGTATTATGTAACCATAATTAAAATCATCAAAATCAAAAACAACCTGGAATAAAGAGGGATCTCGGAATCCTTTATCCTTCGGTTACAAGACTGAGGATATAATCTCCAATACAAAAAGAGTAAAAACGTGCCTACCATGTGACTATAAGATCTGTAAGAGCATCGTATTTGTCCTGTGAAAGCATCCCACAAATGTAAAGGATGGTCACGACTGCTGCTGATAAAACTAAAATATATATATTCAAGAAATTAATGTATAATGATTATATACTGAATACATAAGTATTTTGTTAATTTGTGTGTGCCCATGAAAATAAGTTTATCTTTATCACTTCTTTGCGTTTCGAGTGAAGATCCTATTCTCTCTCATGAATATATATATTAGCCAAGGTTGTCTTTTTTAGATTTGATTGCACATTATTTGACATTGTTATTGTTAAGTAGTATTTCGTGGATATATAATATCTCAGTTGCAGTACAAAGCTGAGCAAATATGAAAACAACATATGGTCTGCATAACATGTGTGGATGCCTTTTAAATGTGTGAAAGCATGATAGATGATTGTTATACTATTGATTCTTAGTAAATGCACTTTGATGCCAATCAACTTACCAACATGTGTCAGGGTCATAAGAGGACATATTAGGATACCAATTGTAGTCATAAATTGTTTCTCCTTCCCTCATTCCAAGAACTGAACTCTACACACGAAATTAAGATTGCAAAACTTGAGATTGTAACACATTGGTTTTGAAGGCTGAACACAAGAATAAACTGACCATTTCAGGTAGAATATCACAGGTATTAAAATCAGAATATAATTCAATTGGCAGATTAAAAAGTCTTAACATATTGTCATCACTGCATGTTAGAATACATGTTCCATCTGGTGACCTAAGTATTGAGAAAACAAAAGAAATGATACAAGTTCAATTTAGCTTTGATCACATCTTACTTAGAGTAAAGGAAAATACACAAATAGGGAAACGAAATTTCATCGACAACTCGTAATTCTATTCGTTAGAGTGTTCGTTCGCAGTTCGTTCTATTCGTATTTTTCATGTAGTTGGTAAAGTACACATTTTATAAGAAAAACAATTTCGTTGTGTAAACAGTGTTTACGTCACTTATATCCTTAAGTTGTGATCGTAGAAAAGGCGGCAGGATAATTTTCAACTATCCGGTATCCGGCCGGTCAGTAAAATGCTCTATCCGCTGCACCCCTATTTTTGTTTCGAAAACAATTGTTATCCCGCGAAACGTATTGTGACCTTCATTTTGCTGTATTTGTGCATATGCACGGGATGTAACATAATCATTCAGTGCTGCATGTGTAACTTGTTCAATCTTCCTTCTTTCAAAAACAGTCAATGATAACAATAAGTGCAATATATAGAACAATATAATCAAGGCTTAACTTTTAAAGCAACAAGCAAACATATACCCCTAAAGGCCCATTTCCACTCAGGGAAATTTTCCGCAGAAAGAAAATTTTGTAACATGTGATTGGCTGACACAAATTTTCCTTCGCAAAAACTTTCAAAGTTGAAAATTAACAATGATATTTTCGGAAAATTTTCTGTGCCAGGAAATTTTTCTTGAGTGGAAATGGGCCTTTAGTTTTATCTTCACTAGCAAATTTTCCAAAGTTACTGGCAAAGTATAAATTAGGACTATGTCTATGGATTTTGGCTTTATGAATTATGGTCGTGTCGTTATTTTACGGTGATTGCAAAACTGCAAGTACCACGTATAGCCAATGTGATGTGACAACATACGGAGTCGGGTCAATATGATAACTAAGGTTCTTTGAGAAAACATTTATATTGGAACTGGCTTGTTGTTGACATCAGTTATATTAGGATACGATTGTGTGCTGAAAGCAGGAGAACATTGCATGACGTGCACACTAAAGTCATTATTAAACCTTAGAATTTGTTAATCATTATTAAACCTTAGAATGTTTTCATTTTTCTAGATTGCGAGCGGCAAATTCCAGGACTTGATATATTATACTTAGGACAAACACTTATAACTGCTCCAATACATACCATTTACAACCTTTGAGAAAGTTTTCAGGATATCCTTCAAAATCCCTCCATGATCCTGTGACTTGCACAGGAGTGGTGGTAAAGTTAACTTGATATCTAATTCAAAATATTATAACCAATGAATGAAATTAGGGTATACATTTACATTCATTCTTTATTTGATATAATGAAAGTTATATACTAGAGATGTCAGCTCAATTAATAAGCTGATGTGGACCAATACAAGTCTGTGGTATCATGTTCAGCTAATCCGCGTATATCTATAATAATTATTGTTTTGCTTTTGTCAATTGAAATCTATTATGACACATCCATTACAATTACTTGTATATTGGGTAATAGCATGGTTTTAAGTGCAATTTGGGGGGGAAATGCATGAGTGAGTTTTTAAAAGACAATCAAAATTGCACAAGTCAAACGACGAGTGCACTTTGAGGTCTTTGAAAAACTCACAAATGTTGTTTTCCCAAATTTGGACCATGCATACTATTACTTATTGTAATAATATACATAAAAAATTATGCTATTCATAGTCACTTTACTTGGCACTGCCACTGCATGTATTTCAATAAAATTGTACTCCTCTTATGGAATCAGAATCGAGTAATTTTTTCATGTACTATATTACTACAACAGAAACAACATATGTAATAAATAAAATGCGGAACGGAACGGATATGGGGTTAAAATGCGGAACGGAACGGATATGGGGTTAAAATGCGGAACGGAACGGATATGGGGTTAAAACGTAACCTGAAGTTCAGGCCCTAATTTTAAATATAGGGTCTGACACAAAACCTGTCTAAACTGTGGGATTCCCATCCATCTGGTGGAGGTCGACAATTAAGCTGGTTACAGACGAGCAAGTTTTTATGTGACAAGTTTTATTTGCTCGTCTGTACGCGCAACTTTGACATTTTTTTCTATGACAAGTGCACTTGTTCAAAAGCTAGCATGCTAGCTTTTGAACAAGTGCACTTGTCATAGAAAAAATTGTTCGTCTGTATGGGTCAACAAAGAAAACTTGTCAAAGTAATCAGCTGAGCACTTAGCCAGTGGACTATTGTAATTTTTCTGTCATGGCGGCGATAAACACCTTTTTCTGACACATTCACACCAGTAAATAAAACTTGTCATATGAAAACTTGTCATAGAGAAACTTGTTGCATATACACACGTGCACTTGGCAAATAAAACTTGTCACATAAAAACTTGTCATAGAAAACTTGCTCGTCTGTAACCGGCTTAATTGTCGCCTTGACCGAGCTATTTTTAAAACTATTGTTTATGTGAACTTGCAACCAATCAAAATCTTTCATGATGCTGATCAACCAATCAGATTTCCCGTCCACCAGATGGATGGGAATCCCACAGTTTAGACAGGTTTTGTGTCAGACCCTATTTAAAATTAGGGCCTGAACTTTAGGTTACGTTTTAACCCCATATCCGTTCCGCATTTTAACCCCATATCCGTTCCGTCCCGCATTTTAACCCCATATCCGTTCCGTTCCGCATTTTAACCCCATCCGTTCCGCATCCGCTTCCGCATTTTAACCTAACCCAGTATTGAAGGGTCTTTCAAGCCAGACCTGGAAATAGTGGTGGATCCTGGGAACGACGTTCCTAGAAAATTTTTAAAAATTGCTAGATTTTAAGGATTTTCAATTTTCTTTGGCAGAAAATTTTGAAATTTCTTGAAAAAAATTATCTATAAAAATTAACAAAAAGGTAAAAAATTTCCCAAATTTTCTTAGAACTGAAAACGCTGATATAAGTGATATCACCTGATTTTCACTTGAGCATACATAAAAATATTCCTTGAAATTTAAATTTCTTTATCACACAACTCGCAAATGTCAAATTAGGTAGTAATAAACGCTTATAAGTTATAACTACAACTGTAATAAGCTATTACACTATATAAGCATTTATTACAATTTAATTTGATATGCTAAAACCTAATTTGCTAACATATTAGTAACATAGAATTAATTAATATTACCCAATATCCAATTTATTGATTAATTGAATAGATTTTGTTAAGGTGGAAGGAACAGTGTTGTTAAGGAACAGTGAAGGCTGCATGTGAAGCACAGTTAATGCCTAACAGCTGTAAGAGTCAAAATTTAAGTGCTGTTTTAAACCAACTAAATTTTATGACAGTGTTTTCAAAGAAAATGCCCCCCCCGGCCTAAATTTGATAACAGTGTTTTCAAAGAAAATATTTCCCCCTGGCCTAGGATCCAAGAAAGGCTAGAATTATTTCCAGGTCTGTTTCGAGCAAAAATTTGAGCAAAATTTCTGGTGAAATTTTGGGCAAAAACCATTATTCATATATTAAACCTAACTAAGAGCAGTTGCAAATGGTCTACTGACAGGAATGGAACCTGTGATCCTTCCAATTACAGTAAGTGCACCAATCTGACAGCTAACCATGAGTCCATGTATATTATTTATTATCATGATGATACCAGTAACCAGGTCTCGAATTTGGGAAAAATAAAGGCAAGGTCAATTTGGCCTTGAATGTTACTAAGTTTTTCAGGGCATCAAGGCCAATTAATATACAAGGCATCAAGGCTAGTTTGAAAATTTTATTCAGTTGCTATTTTAAAGTTTCAAATAACGTTTGTATTACCATGAGACAAGAAAAATATACAGAACAACAACAATAGAGAGGTTAAGATACCCCGGTTTCGGTGTACGTGTACAAGTAGCATGATTTCGGCTAGCAATATTTTCGTCGATGTCTGTACCTTTACTCGTAATTAAGGTGCACATTTTTCGCATTATATCATTGTCTATTGCAAGAAAACAGAAAAAGTATGATCGAATTACAGACATCAGTAAAACAAGATGACACTACTCGTACCTGTACACCGAAACCGGGGCATCTTAACCTCTCTAATATTAAAAAAATGCCAAATGAAACTATTCATATCATAGTTACATGTACCGTAACTACCTATTAAACTATAAGCCTTTAGTACTGTACTCTGTGGTTGAGGGCAGGCCATTACTGGCCGTGGATTTCAGTATATTTTGAGGGCATTACCGGCCAACAAGCAGGGTATCGACGGTCAGTGGCCGCCATGGCCTCCGCTAAATTCAAGGCCTGAGTAACTATAGAGTGATGTCAGTGTAATTGGTATAAGGGTTAATATTCTAGATTTTGGGCCATACTTGTTCAATCAATACAATTGAATGTTGAAGGATTTTTGTAGATGGAGATTATATTAGGCCCTGTGACTATATTAAATTAATAGAGCATGCATGGAGGAATTAAATAGCAGGTGGGGGGCTTATTACAGTATACTTTTTCATCACTTCTGGAATGCAGGCTAATTAGAAGAGGCTGGCTAAAAAAAGGCTGGGGGCTACATAAAGGAAATAAGGTGTAAGTATGAAAGTTTTCAAGTACTGCCAGATATTTGACTGACCAGTGCTCTCTCAATCAGCTGTGCCGATATTGTATATTGTATATTGATCTCTAGACAGGAAAGTTTTCCTAATTTGTACACTTTTGAGGCTTAGGCAATTTCAGAATTTCTAAATGCATATCCTGTAATTCAAGGATTCTCTTTTGTGTCCAATTTTGCAAACTTTCCAGTCTGGTTGGATCTGTTGCTGAACAAATACGACATGCATATTTGGTAATCAGGTCATTTTGTACTCCGGACTCCAGTCATTTCCTACTCAACCGTCTAGTCATTTTGTACCCAAACTCTGGTAATTTTGTACCCAACTGTAGTTGAACGATTGCACTAAAATACAAAAATGCTCAGATATAACTGTTTTATATGGATTTTACCCATGATAAATTCAAACAAATAAATAGTAACGTGCAATCAAAACTATTTACAGAAAATTGACACAGCTAGGGTTTATATAAAAAGGAATTTTTTGGTGAAAGAATAAGTCAGTAAAGCAATTTGATTTATATTTATATATCATGAAAAACGAAATGCATTTTTTCACAGTGACCACGAAGTCTGTGCGCATGGCATAAGCATAGACGGATTTTCATATTTATTACTGGGGTGGTGCCAGAAATTTTAGGGGGGTGAGCCGTGAGCAGGTGACTGAAGCAACACAAAGTGTCACCAAACCCCAGTAAGGTCTATATTCTAGGGGTGGAGCACTAGAGCCATGAGGGGGAGTCTAGAGAGCAGAAAACAAAGTATCCCAGGAAAAATTTGAAAAAAATCATGATTTCTAGCTTCGAAAAAAAGTTTTTTGAAGTTGTCAATTTGTCATATCAATGGATTTGGCATGTCCGATTGTCTGTTGAGACTTGAGAGAGTTAAAGACTTAAAGTTAAATGAACCTCAGTCCTGTAAAAGTGTAAACCCAATTAATAGGCCAATACACGATATGCTTTTACTTTTATAAAGTCATTGACATTGTGTTGTTTGAATCTGAGTACAATTTATGATGCAACTCCGATGCAAATAATATTTGGGGTGTAAAGATTAAATCTAGGCAAGTCTATTTCCTAAAAGAATTAAAAACAAAAATAGTGTTCGTAAAAATTCCAAACGTTCCTTGCGTGCAAGCTATTTGCATGACAAGGCACTGCAAACTCTATTCAGGGAAGATAATAGAGTTTCAAAACTTTACAATTGCTCCAATAAACCAGTGAATGCAAGCGAGGAGCGATTAGTTTCAGAGTATTGCACTGTCTTTTTCTATTTGAGTGTACTCCTCCGTTTATTTTGTATCATCAACACTCTGCACGTTGGAGTGGACTATTTAATTATTTTTTATTATGCTGAATATTGGGGGGGGGTTGAAATTTTTTTTGGAGGGGTGGACATTTTGTTTGGGGGGGGTTATAGCTAATATTGGGGGAGTAGCACCCCCCTGCACCCCCACAAAATCCGTCTATGAGCATGGGTATGAAACAACCAAACCTGGGTACGAAATGGTAAAGGTACGAAAACTCGAAAAGGTAGGAGTATGAAATGACCATAATATAAACCTATGTAATATATCAGTAATCAACTTTTAATATACCTTAATAAATTATACGTCATTTCTATAGATGCTTCAGTATTTTCTGGTTGTTGAATACAAGAATCAACGTTTTGTACTTCGGACATATGGTCCATACTAACTTCACATTTATTTATATCTTCTCCAGTAGGCTCAGATGAGCCTTGAGACGTTCCACACGCTGGTGACTCAGTTTCATTTATAGATTCTTGGCTGTTGTTTAGAGAGTCTGAACAGTTTATGTTTGGAAGAGAGATAGCATTTTTGAATGGTTGTATTTGAGTATTCTCAGTTGTTTTACAACAGTGTTTGGTACCTCCTACAAAAGTTTTAACACTCCCCGAAATTTCAGCTACTGTAACATGATTCACGTTCAAGTTTGAAACTTTGCGAGCTGTAGTTAATAGTTCTCCTTCCATTTCCCGGCCCTTGGCGTCCGCCATCTTGATTTTTAATATTCCTTGTAAATTCAAGACTAACTTCATGTAAGATGTAGTGAAATAGTTCAGTCATATTCCAGGAATTTTCGATCGTTTTCGTTTCCAAGAGATTTATGAGGGGGCCCTATGAGGACATGCGTGGGCATGTACTAAAACCCGAAATATGAAACAACGAAACAAAACGGAACAACTTGGAAATGACCGGAACCAGTGGAACCACCGAAACCAAAATCGAACCGGCTATCGGAACAAAGTAGTAGAACACGACCAGAACGATAGTTATTTAGGTCTCATACAGACAGTACATCTAAAAAAATTATAAAATTGGCACAGATTTTAGTGAGCATGAGAAAAGCACACTGTACACATCTCGCTATTCTCTTCTCTAATTTTCTTAATATGTCCCTCGCCTTTAGAATCTACAAAAAAAATATACGGCCTAGTTTTTATTAAACAATTTGTACTGTTTTCATGCAAATTTGAAAAAAATAGCTTTGTTTCGTTTAGCTTTTCCTTGTCTTCCATACTTGCCTTCCGATTCTTGTTCCGGTGGTTTCGTCCCGGTTGTTTCCTCTGGGTTGTTTCGTTTCGTTGTTTCGGGTTTTAGTAACATGCGATGACGTCATGACGATACAAAGAACACGCGTGATCATGGGCTGGGTCATTCTTCTGCTCGCTGCTTCGACAAAGAAAGAGTGCAAATGAATAATTACTTTTTCTGAAGTTTATATGAAAGGTAAAAGATTTTTGTTCTCAAATAATATTGTAATAATATAAAATGAAGTAATTTAGAAATCTGACATGACTGGCTTGAGTCAACTGACAGAAGTAAATGGTCACTTCGTTCAGTTCGTTGTTTGATTTTATATATTTAATAAATATTTTATACCCCGTGGATATTCGTCCGACACCGGTCTTCCTGCTTCACGGCTATTCATCCGACAACGCTTTAAAAGCTAACACTAAACCACTAAAAGGGTTGCGTTGTTTCTTAAAGAACGAAGCAACAACATATTCGATACGCTATACGTTTCGTACGCGGTGCGTAAGCGAAAATCACGAAGAAAAAAAAAGTATAAAAAAAAAAATAATAAAATAGTGGCGCGAGCTGGAATCGATTCCAGAACTTAGCGCACACAATACGGGTGCCTAAACCACTACACTACGAAGGATTCGAAGGATTCTTGTTGACGTTGACAGTGTATTTTTCAAATATCATTGTTTTATACGGAAATATTTTATAGTAAAGCAGAGGTCCAACATATTTAAATTAAATTCGGGCCTCGCTCCTTCGCAGAGATTTCCGTTTGATTTGCATGCAAGAGAAAAATGCAGAGAGAGTTAAATGTTGGCTTAGTCTCCCTCGCAGCCGCTATTTGTGGAGAAACCTCGACACAAAGAGCGCCTGCGAGGGAGACTATTGTTGGCTGTCATTCTGTGAAGATTTAATATACTTTTGGGTGTATTTTGCTTGCTGGGCGGCGAAAAACAACGTGGCCAGATTTGGTAAAATAATTTACTTTACGAAATTTTAATTTCGCCAATTTTGGAAAAATGTTAGTAATGAGATTTTATTAAAATTTTGGTAAAAATTTGTAGAGATTTTAACAATTCAGTAATTTTTTAGTAACAATTCGTGTTTGAATGGTATCTTGTGTATTAAGACCACCATTTGTTGCATATTAGTTTCTCATCTTGTTCGAGACTGTCCCCATAGTTGATGTGGGCAGCAGGGGCGTAGCGTGCGGGGTGTGTGGGGGTGTGTGTGACACCCCCCAGTTTTAGTGAGGTAGTCGGTAAAACGCGAAGTTACTCGGTAATGGCAAGGGCCATGACAGCGGTCGGTAAAACAAATCGGTTAAAGTGGAATTTTGCTCCTCGGTAAATGGCTTTTAATAATCAATAAAATTAAATGAATGTTGTGCCTTGTTCTCCAATAAAGTTATGCAAAATGTACGTAATTCTTCAGTAATCACGTATATTAAATATCTACGCATAAGCATTGCAGCCCCTAATTTCCTATCGTATTACACTTGCAAGAGCTGCGAAAACAGTCGGTTCTGATTGGACATGTTCAACAGTGCGCAAACTTTTGACCTTGATACAATGATATGCCAAAGAATTAAAGATTATATTTATATATTTATTATTGACACGCGGTGCTCATAAAAGGTTTCGCCAATTTTTCAAGTCTGTTTATTACAATAAACAACAAGATAAATGTCATTGAGTAAAATGACTTATCGCGCGCCGAAATATTTATTTGTCAATTGCTGTATAGCTGTTATGGTATATGTTATATGTAGCGTATAAGGGGCGGTCACGAATTCTACTAAAACCTCACGGTCAGCTCACACTCACAGCTTGTTAATATCTCACTGATTTCGAAAATAACACAACTGGTTCTTAAATATGTTGGTTTTGCTGCACATTTTAACTATTAAGAGTGACTTCATTAAGTTCATTTGCATCAAATTACATAAAACTTTTTCCTTCTGAAATAGATAATTAAAACATCGCTACATGCAACCTCGTGGGTATTCAACAATTTAAATTTGTTTAATTTAATATAAATAAAAGCTACCAAAACTTGTGTGTATAAGGTATAGAAGACTCTTAAAATGCCATTTCCAACGATCTAGAGACTCCACATTTTCAAAAAATTTTCGCTCGCCGCCAACCATGGTGGCACCTCGTTGACGTGGGTCCCCCAAAACAGATAATGCATGCAGCATGTACTGATCCACGACAATGCTCGCATTTTTTATTCTTAATAGACCTTATCGATTATTCTCTTTTACACAACATCATTTGCCCTCGTTTCCATGTTAACTTATTTTAAAAGCATGTCAGGGGCAGATAAAGATTATACCATGTTTTACTGGACGAATTTGTTTCTTGCTGTTCTTAGGCTCAATAACAAAGTAATTTTCAACCCTACTAAGCACAAAACATGAGTAAGTAGTTGACATGAAAACGAGGCCATTGGATAAAACAGATTCTTTCGCTTCAAGTGCCACGTGGTCGTCGGTAAAACTTAGATGTTACACCCCCGCAGTTAAAAAGGTCACGCTACGCCCCTGGTGGGCAGGCTGCAATTATGCCATTATGTAGAGTGTTGGCTTTATGCATACTCATACAATTTTCTGTTTAAAATTTTCATTGATTTCCGGTATGATATCAAAATGTAAAGCAATGTGTTGCTGTTTGAGCTTCGAAAAAGCATCTACGGGAGTGGTAATTATTTATGGGGAGGGGTGGGGGGTTGGTAAATGGGAGGGAGGGGGCAAACAAAGTTTTACCCTTATAAATAGGGGGGCTCAAAAAAGTTTTTGAACTTAAATACCATGTCTTAAGAGTTCTGATTTCTATAATCACAAATAGCATAGACTCACAAATCTAACTTAACTGATCAGATTCAGTCTATCAAAGCACAATGTAACTGTATATCCAAAAATCTGTTTAGAAAATGCTCACATTTGGGGGAGAATACCCCCAGACCCCCCTACTAGTACATATACGATACCACACTAAACTTTTTGTCAGCAACAACCATTTGTCCGTCTCTCCACACTCAGTATAGAGTATAAAATGTAAAAATGTAGTCATTTAAGGCAAATGTGAGCAAATATGCATGATACATGGAGTCATGGCAAATACTATGGGAAGCAGTTTTCCCGTTTTCCCAAATAAGAATTTTAGACATGACACTTTTCAGTGGAAACAGTAACAGCAAACAAATATTTTCTTTAACCCATATTCTCCCTGCCACTGGGAGTTTTCTCTCACAATACCAATTATACCATATAATTTGAATATTTATGCATGAGATGATTAGTTATGGTCATCTATATACACCACGTGATTGTCAGACAGTATAAAAGTAGCACAAAATCGGTATTTTTTTAGCATAATTGCCACCGAAAAGGAAGAACGGCGCTGATATGTTTTGGCCTTTTGGGAATCCAATTTGGGAAGTGTTGCAGCCGAGCCCGGCCTTGGGAATTTAACGAAACGCCTTGCTTACACAGCGGCAAGATAAAGCTCACCAACCAATTTAACTTGATGATGTGGATCATCCTCCTCAACCGGCTGTACTTGGAATCAGCTATTGGTTTGTTGTCTACAGAATTTAAGTGGATCATCCCTGTCCCCGTGAGTTTCAAGGCTATAAGTTTTCTTCGGCATCATGTACTGCCTTGAAAATAAGGTATTGGATCGACTTCGGTAGCAACGTCAACTATATTGTAGACTGGTTGAGGATAACTAGTAAAGATTCAGACGGCGATCTAGTAGAGTTGATAATTGATCTTTATCAATTTCACGACGATGAAAATTCCAGCACCGCGGCAAATGGCAAACATCATCTCTTTACAGTCACTGTTTACATAGCTGAACAGAAACTCAAAATATACGGAGACTACAAAGATTTATGGGGTAAGAACGAATTCAATAAACTGAAATCATTTGCTAATGAGTTATGCTTGAGTTCGAAATTAAACGCCGAAACAATCAGTTCATTATATACAACTTCCTTTCGTGACACGAGCGATGTATACGGAAGCAAGGAGAAACTTGATTTAAGTAATGTATCATTTGATGTTTTGAATGATGTGGACTCCTCGGATTGTGATGAAGATGTCGAAGGTATTGAAGAGAATCTAATATTAAAGCAACCTAGTACAAAATCTCCAAAAGTCAGACGCAGACGAAGCAAAGCACTCTCTTCACCTCGCCACAATACCACTAAAATACCGCCTGGGGCTTGTCATCGCAGAAAAATGGAACGAAAATCATCCGTTCATTCAACACTGCCAACTCACAGTAATGGTTCTATAAATCAAAAGCAAATCATTGACTTTATAGAATCTATAAGTAATCGTGTTAACAAATTGGAACAATTGATGATCAAAATAGACTCGACTTTGGCTACAACAGACGTAGATATACTTGATATACAGAGTAACTTATCAAACACTAAGAAAAAATTATCTGAGTCGCTAACTTCCCATCTAAAACATGAACTACGTGTTATCAAAGATTCGCAAAACAACAATAAAGACGAGACAATCGTTTTGTCAAAGCCGAAACAGAAATTAAACGACTCCAAGGTCGTATTGGATCGTTGGTCGAAGAAAAATCTCAGTTACTGAAAAGAGTAGCTTTCTTAGAAAATTCAAATGCAAAGCTCCATGAGGAAATCACATCCAACCACACCAAACCACAAGATCAACAAGTTAACAACCATATCTCTCAGAGCGAAACCAAGCCACAAGAAGAAAAGGTTCCAGGTGCAATAGATTCTACCGCCGCGAAAGCCAGTAACAAAAATAATGAAAACCAAGAGCAAGTACAAGATCAATCACCAGAATACGACTTTGTCATCCTTTGTGATTCGAACAGAAAGTATATCAACGCAGATCAGCTTTATCCAAAAGGAAATAACAAAGTCATTCCATGCGGAAATACAGCCAAAGCTATTGACATTTTAACCTCCCCAAGATTTACGGTGAAGCATGGCATCATTATCAACACTGGCGTCAATGATTTGGAAAGTTTATCACCCAAAGATATAATCGAAAGCCAAACTTGTCTAGTGAACATTGCTACAACCAATTTTCCGGACAAAAAGATCATTATGTCGAGTATCACACCTAGACGGGACGACCTGGATAAATTTGTCTTCGAGGTCAACAAAGCAGTAGCCCAAAACATTTGTAAAATCCCTAATGTCGTTTTGGTGGACAATGGAAATTTACGAAGTAAGGATCAATTCTACTTTGACACAAAACATTTGAGTAGGAGACACGGTATACCCCTATTTGCAACCAATTTAAAAAATGGGATTCGAAAATCTTTGGGCATCAATAATCGAAGAATTTCTGGACAACATCGATTTCCATACCCCAAATCAAATCATGGATCAAGTTGGAGTGATGTCGTGAAACAGAACCCCCCACTGAATAATTCACGAAATCAATCAACCATAAGTGAAGTTAAAAACCATCTCGTTGATCTAACCGCCATGTTTAAACAATTTCTACAAACAACTGTCAACCCATCTGCACAACCGCCATTTCACAATTATCCAGCTCCACAACCAAATAATCTATTTCCCCCCTCTCCGCCACTTTTTCCGCCACCCTTTCCACCATCAGGATTAGTTTATGGTAATCCACAATTTGGAACCTAAAGCTAAGTAGAACAGCAATATTATGACTAGTTATGTTTGCATGGTGGGGTTTGCATATATTTATTTTTGTGTGTACACTCATTTACACAGGTTGTATGTGTGTGTGTATATTGTGTATGTGTATTACGTGTTCTCAGGTATGTGTATGCTCAGTATTATTTTTGTTGTATAACTGTACGGGTGGATGTCTTAAAATGCCAATTAACAGAAATTTTCTGCGGCTCTGTTCTTGGAATATTGAAGGTCTTTCAAGAAAGGTTGCCGATTCTGACTTTATTTCCACAATTCGTCAATTTGACTTTATTTCTTTAGTAGAAACCTGGTTATCTCAGGATAACTGTAATTTGAATCTTGATGGGTTTTACTCATTTTCAAAATGCAGAAAAAAAAACAAAAAATGGCTGTAGAAACTCAGGGGGCATAACAGTTCTAGTTAAGTCTTCCATTCGTAAAGGAGTCAAATTTCTTGACAAAGAAAGTTGTGAAGAATTTGTTTGGTGTAAACTGGATAAGGATTTCTTTAACTTAACACAGAATATTTTCATCTGTTCAGTCTATGTTCCTCCACAAAACTCTCCTAGGGAACATAGATTGAACATAAATCACTTTGAAACTCTTCAAAATGACATAAATAAATTTGGTAATCTAGGTGAGATCATTTTATGTGGACATTTTAATGCAAGAACAGGAAATTTAAACGATTTTGTTGACGACTTTAGCGTATACAATAATTCCTCTGGTCCAGTTGATTATCGGAATTCTCAAGACTGTAACACCAATGTATATGGGAGAACTCTGGTCGAATTATGTTGTGAGAATTCCCTGATTACTTTAAATGGGAGGACTAAGGGCGATTTTGTTGGACATTTCACATGTCACACTTATAATGGATCAAGTGTTGTAGATTATACTATTGTTTCTCAGAGCCTTTTTTCTTCCTTAAGTCATTTTTCTGTCTCACCTCTCACAGAAGGGCTCATATATTCTAATATAGCATTAACACCACACCCTTTAGCCTTCAAATGGAATGATGGTTTGAGGGGAGAATTGTATAATATCTTTAATAATGAAAAAATGAACGACCAAATGGATAAGATTTTTATTCATTCAAACGATAATGAGATAACCATCAACTCCCTAGCTAACCATTTTACAGATACTATTAACAAAGCAGCTACGAGTTTAATATCTTTCAAAAAATTGAAGAAGAATTCCAATAAGGTGGGAACGAATTCAATTCCAAAGCAGAATTGGTTTGATAATAACTGTTACCGTCTTAAAAAAGAACTACGAAACTTAGGGAAGCTATTATCTAAACAACCAAATAACCCTTTTGTAAGACACTTGTTCTTCACCAAGAAAAAAGAATACAAGAAATTAACTAGAAAACTTAAGAGGAATTTTTATAGCAATATATTGGATAAAATTAAAATCCTGGCGGATAGCAATCCGAAAGCGTTTTGGAACCTTGTTAACTCAATTAAATCCAATCGTACTAGTGGTTCCAACGAAATATCGCCCGTTGAGTGGTTTAACTATTTTCACGACCTAAATAAGACTAATTTTTCCTCTGAGAGCACGAGCACTGAGTCTCGAATAGTCGCTGATATTAACCTTTGGGCGACCAGTGGTGTTGAGATTCTTGACAAACCAATTTCTTTAAAAGAAATTCACGACATCTCTAGAAAACTCAAACCTAACAAAGCAAGCGCAAACGATTCACTTAATAATGAAATTATTAACTTAATAATGAAATTATTAAAATATCATCCATTAGTTTAGCTCCTCACTATGTGAAACTATTTAATAAGATTTTATCTAGTGGAGTTTTCCAAAAATATGGTCGGAAGGCCTTATTACTCCTATACACAAATCGGGAAATAAAACTGATCCTGGAAATTACAGAGGTATATGCATCTCTAGCTGTTTAGGAAAATTTTTCACTTCAATTCTTAATGCACGTTTAAATGTTTTTCTAGAAGAAAACAGTATTTTGAACAAGTACCAAATTGGTTTTAGACATGGATTTCGTACGTCTGATCATCTGCTCTTTCTTAAAACATTAATAGACTCTTATAAGTTAAGGCGGAAACTTATGTTTGCATGTTTTGTTGATTTCAGGAAAGCATACGATAGTGTCTGGCGAGAAGGTTTATTTTTTAAACTGATAAACTACGGATGTAGCAGAAAATTTGTCACAATTTTACTGAATATGTATTCCTCTGTTAAATCAGCGGTTAAGCTTGAACAAGGTGTCGCACCATTCTTTCAATCTCATGTTGGAGTAAAACAAGGATATAACCTAAGTCCAACATTGTTCAACCTCTTCATCAACGATATACCTAATTTATTTAATACTACTTGTGAACCTGTGAAGTTCGGAGACACTGAGTTGAGTTGTTTGCTGTATGCCGACGACTTGGTGATAATGTCAGAATCGGAATCTGGGCTACAATACTGCCTTCAAAAACTTGAACTATATACTAAGAAATGGAAATTACAAGTTAATCTAAAAAAAACAAAAATTCTGATTTTCGGGACACAGTATCAAAGACGACAATTTATCTCCACCAAGTGGTTCTTCGGGGACAATCCACTGCATTGTGTGAACGAATATACGTATTTGGGATTAACTCTTCATTGTGGTGGTAACTTTAAGATAGCGACAACAATGTTATACAACAAGGCATTACGAGCTTACAATTGCCTAATGCAGAAACTTTCAAATGTAGAGAATATACCGATTAAAACATTACTGAAACTATTCTATTCGGTAGTGGTTCCAGTTTTATTATATGGTTGTGAAATCTGGGGTGTATGTTTACTGGGTAAAATTTCTTCGTTTGAACTTTTCCAAAAGAGATTTTTCAGTGTGGTGAATAAAATGGAATCACTTCAGTTTGAAATTTTTTAAACGTATACTCGGAGTTCACTCGAAAAGTACAAATCTAGCAGTATACGGTGAACTAGGTAGAGTCCCTCTAATAGTACAGATCTCTACTCTAGTGACAAAGTATTGGATACGAATTAAAGATCCGAATTATATGAATACTCTTGTAGGAGAGGCAGCGAGTTTTAATATTCGAGCGAATACTCAGGCAGTTAATTTTACAAACCATATATTAAAACTATGTGATCTGGGTTCACTAAACGGTATTTCTCTCCCACTTGAAAGTTTACATAATGTAGGTACATATCTAAAAAATAGATTATCTACTTATTTTACTCATTTTTGGAAAGATCAGATTGAACAAAGTCGTCACAGTGGTAAATTAAGAACTCTAGTACAAGTTAAGAATAATTTTGTATTTGAAGAATACCTTCATGAAATATGCAATGTTAAGCATCGCCAAGCAATAACAAAAATGAGAATATCTGCGCACAAACTACCGGTTGAATCTGGAAGATATACCAAAACACCATACGAAGATCGGTTTTGTACCTTATGTCAATCGAGTGAAATTGG